GGTGCAAAAAGTAGAAGACGTTGGCCACGATCGTTTAGGCGGCCGAGCAAATTCATTCCGAGTCTGTCCCAAACATATCGCCTGGCAACACCGCGAAGGAAGAACATACTTTTTCTTGGTAACGGCATACCGTACCTTGAACTTCGGGTTATTGACGCAAAGGTTATTCGGATAAGCACAAGTGTTTTTCAAGCGGACACGACGGCAAATCGTGCACGTATCCCAGTATGAGGTGAGCGCACCGAGGTCAACCCTTCGGCGCTGTGATCTGCACTCAGATCTGGGTGCAAACGGATTGGGCATATTTTGGGGATATTCGATCAATCTGATAGCAGCGTCGCAAGCGACTGGGCTGTGTTGAAGAAACGTTCCTCCTCCCCTTTTATCTGTTTGAAAATTGATTACTCTTTGAATTGTCCCTCAACTCATGAAGTGACAGCAGTTTCGTGTCGCGACCGATGCTTGTATCTCTGCTGGATAAAAGCAGCCCACAGCCACCTCACCTGCACCCGAGAGAAAACGACTAGTGGAGGTGGAAGGATCGAAGGCGTTTGGCCTCGACGCGTCACTCACGGAGTGAGAGATGTTAGCGGGGGTAGTCCGCTCGCAAGTAAGGTATCTGTGCTCTCTGTCTCGATGACACACGACGCGCAGGCCAAGGAAACTACGTCTGTTTGTTTCTCGCGCCTTGATCGTTTTTCTCCGCTGTCGGCGCCCGTGGCGTCCATACAGTGAACACAGGGTGCGTTTGAAGCCCATACAAATGTGACGCATGCAGATTTCATAGCGTTATGGACGATAAGGTTGAACCTGACCGATGGTAATATCGCCGCACCTAACAAGACTTGTCAGCCGGTCGAATACCGTAAGGTTGCGAGTCATGGCACCCCCGTGTGGTTGTTTGAAAACCTTTATCGCCATTTAATTTTCATCGCACAGGGGTGCCTGTGCGAGAACTCCAGTGTGTGCGGTACTCGAAGACCCTGTGCAGACGTAACGGAAACCTCAGCTGTGCAGGGATTGCAGGCTCCACACACAACGTATATACTCACGCGCACATCAGTCAACCACAGCAGTTGGTCCCGGTGGATGCTAGGCGTTGAGAAAGCACACACACACATAACGTATTTTCCTTGGTCAGCCTGTTGTCGCGGTCGGGATGCTAACAGGAAAGAGACATGAACTCACACACACCACAAATACGGCGAAGCAAAACGCGTCGAAATACAAAACCCCGCGGGCGGAAAAAAACAATTTCCCGCCGTCGAGTTGTGCCCACACGCCAACACAACCTTTGGCTTATGGCTGTTTATCATTTCTCGTGTTTTGGTTGAATGGCCAACGTTCAAGTTTACCGATCCATTCCACGTGTGGTGTGCGACGATGACATACCCATACAGCAGAGTTACGACATGCCAGCACTGGCATGGTTGTAGGGGTGAGAAAGTTGCCCCGGAATCGGTGGCCCTCAACTACCCTAGGTTACAAGTCATTGCACCCCTGTGCGGTGACTCCGGACTCTGTACATCTGGAAATTGAATTAAATCAATGAGCCATTTCTTTTTTATCGCACGGGGGTGCGATGACTCCGGACCGTGTGATGACTCGCAACCGTACTGCATTTGTCAAAAAGGGTGAATTGACCGATCTTGGGTCAAGATTCGTTCGAAACGGCAACTGTTGGACCCTTGACAATCTTCGCCAAGATCTGACGGGAGATGTTGTGACGATAAAAAGTGAAACAACCAAATCTTGGTCCAAGATCAGGATTTAGACCCCAAGATTTTGTTCCCGTATTGACGGGCGTCAAGGCTGAGTCTTACGGTGTGATTATTTCCGGATTGGATTTTGGGGGGGGGTCCTTTTCTGAGCCAAAAAAATAATTTGGGCGTCTTATGGGTAAGAAAATGGCAATTTCCACCAGCCCAAAATCCAATAGCGCAGTTTCCAACAGCGATTCCGGCCGGCCTGTTAGAAAATTGGCCCATTTTCCAACAGCGATCCTGTTGGAAAATCGCTGTTAGAAATGGAGGGGGGTACCCCCTGGTCACACCCCGATCGTGCCAGAACGAGGAACTACACCATCTGCTGGCCAAACAGAGGCCAGTATCATGAGGTCATGCACAAACCCATTGCAGGTATCTAAAATTCAGGGCGTTCTGCGTCGTGTTGGCCGCACACGAGCCGAAAACGTCAACCCTGCCACATTGCTCTGCTGACGTTCTTGCCCTTGGGCCGAAAAGAGCCGTTTTTGCGCCTGCTGCATGTGTGACTAGTTCAAAACGCATGCCAGAGAGAGGCCTTAAGCCGTCGACATCCATAAACAGCAGCCAGTGGCGTGTGGTCATACACATACCCTCTGCTCGCGTCCCAGAAACAGAGCGTATTGTCCAGTTTTGATTGCACACGGCTGCAAACGTGAATCGAGGTGCGGTTCGGTGTTGCCTTTTTTGGATGTTCCTTTTTTTTTCTGCCGCTTGCTCCGAGTCGAGTGTGATCAGTGTACAACGCATGCCATCAGAGAGAGGCCTTTGGCCGACGACATCCACAAACTGCAGCCACTGGTGTGCGATGATACACATGCCCTCTGCAGGCGACCCATAAATAGGGCGCTCGGTGTCTTGTTGGTCGCACACGAGCCAAAACCGTGTACTGAAGCATGATGTGACTCACAAGAACATGAATCAACCTCTTTATTTTGCGTTCTCTCGAATTGCTTCATTATTTCTTCGGTTTCTAGGCTACGTGTTGGGGAGAGAGACGCACGAAACGCTCATCGTCTCTCCGGCCGCGTTAGCTGCGTAGGCCGGCGTCAACTCTTACAAATCCATCTCTCTCCCCACAAATACTAGCCGGGGGACTACGACTGCAAACGCAGAAGTCCCAAAACTGACCAAGTCCTCAAATGGTGCACACCAGTCTACAACACCCGACTAGATACCGAATATTCCCGAACTTATGCCCCAACCTTCGAAAGAAAAGGGATGGGAGGGCGGGATTTTCTAAACTGCCGCCGCTACTGCGTTAGGCGGCTGCTGCTGTCCTTCCGTTGCTTTACGCGCTCTGTAGCTCTCACACGTTACCCGACTTTGCTACAGCCCCTGCGTGGACTCGATCACGGAATGACCCCCCCAACTATAGACTAATAATTCCAAACACCGTGACCCTGGGTTTCCGATAGAAATGAAGCCAAATTCTAATTCGACTATTACAAAATAAACACCAGTTTATTCTATGTGCTTGGACGAACAAACCTTCCTTTTTTTCCCTTCAGAAAAAAATATACCTCGAGGAACCGTAAGACGGTCGTTTGGATCTGGATATTTTTTTCGGTGCAGGCCACCCCCCCCCCCCCCCCAAGAGAAAAAAAAAAAACTGAAATAATCACACCGAAAGACTCAGCCTCAGCGAACTATAACTTGATTTGTTGGACCTGTTTTTTTTGTATTTCATTATTTTGGTTTTCGCGCATCATAAACGTAAATACTGACGATGAGTGGAATATTCCCTTTGATCCTACGGGTCTACATTCTACAGTTCACGACCCTACATTCTACATACATCCATTCACCTCCAGGGAAGGGCATTGCCGTAGGTGACCAAAGACATCTGGGGCGATTTTCGAAGGTCGAATACTCCCACAGCAGGGGAAAACAGAGTGACGTGCCGAAAAATGGCGGCGTTGGAACTGTCTCGTCGAGAGCATTCCGACAACGTATCGTGTGATACATACCACATTATCTTCGTCGTGAAGAAATCCGGGGTGTGATATCTTTGGCTCCACCAACGGTGGGTGTGCGCGTGCCCCACCGGGGCGCTTGTATGGCGGTGATAGTGTAGTTCGGTGGCAGCTACGTTATTGGCGGAAAATGACGCCACGACACCGCCTTCGGCCACCAATTTTACTCCGAGGCGGTGTGTGCGCCAGCTTCCACTCGTTCTCAAGAAGGGCAATATCCAGCTGTGTCCTTCAACCCTCACGGCAAAGACTTGTCGGCCTCCCCTTGGAAAGGTGTATGTAGGTCTTTCGGACGAAACATGTATTTTCTGCTACGTTGTGTATGCATGTCACAAGCCTATTGTTACACATGCCCGAATGGCTGACTTGATCAAGTCCATCAAATCCATCCATGCTGGGCACATCTGCAAGGACTTGTGGTGGCGTAGGGCACCTTGAAGACCGTCTTACACAAGATAGAACAGCAGAATTCGTCCGTCCATTCGAGGCTAAGTTTTTCAGCCGTAGGCCCGAAGGGCGGACGAACTCCGCCGTCCTTCCTTTGGGAAAGCGCTCTTTGAGGTGTCCCACCACTACATTTCCTTTCGGGGTGCTTACGATGGACCTCTCCTGATATGCAGCATAGGCCTACAATGTACTCATCCGCGACGGCCAATCGGAAATAAAGTAATCACGCATTTTTACACGTAATCCTTGTGTGAACTCGCTCGACACGAAAAATAAACAAGCACGACGCGAAGTGTGTGTCGCAAGCTGCACGTATCTACAGTCTGCTGTCTACACACAGTTCGAATCGCCCCTTGTACCGAATATGTGGTTGTGGGGACGAGGGTGGTTGGGGGGGATCGCCCAACAGCGTTACAAATGCCTATTCGTAACCTCTTCATGATTGTCTTTGGTACCCGCCCATCTGTTGCTCCTTGCATTGTGCCTCCTTCTGGAAAGACGTCATCTCCACGCAGCAAGCGAATGACATCACCCCGTACCACCTTCACAAGCCCCACACCATGTGCTTTCGAAACCCCAAGCTTTACAACGGGTTCGTAAAGCCGTAAGTGCACGCTGTCTGGCCCGGGGTGTGAAGCGTATTGGAAAGGGGGATCAACGCCTAAGAATCGAGCCAGCCGCCGCTCTGCTCCCCTCCCGCAGTTGTGGCTGCTTTTCGGCGGCACACCTTTTGTTCGAGAAAAAACAGGTTGAGACACACACTTGCATCCGGGCAGCAGCAAGCACACGCACGTACATACCAGGCGACACTCACCAGGCTTCTTCTGGTCACGTGGAGAGCCGCAAGAGTCGTTAGTTCGCTGTTGCGCCCGCATTCCTTCCAAGGCGATGGGTTGGTGGTTGCTGTGTCGGTGGGTTGTGCGTTGGGCAAGTTCCCACCTCCAGCCAGCAGTGGTGGTCTCCTGCGGAGTACCATTTCTCGGAAAATTCGTTGCCCTCCTTCAGTTCGCAAGCACTGGGGAGCACAGAAAAAGCAAGGAACGGTGCACGGAATCTGGCAGGGAGGCCAAAGAAAGTCCGTCAGAAAAATCCGCGGAACAGCGCCACACGCCACGGGACTGTCGAAAACAACCACCCGACCCAATAGCGTTTAGACGCCGACACGACAACAATCTGCCCCGCCTGTTTTGCGCAGCACACAGCACCCAGCACACCGAGCACAGCAACGGTAGCAGTAGCTATCATATTTTGTACAGCCAAACGCACCCGCCAATGTACACCTCGACCGACCGGCCTGGGTATGTGTAGGTTTTCCGCTGGAAGAGCATGATGCAAGTTTGAGTGGTGAGCGTTGTGGTTGACTTGGTTGACACCGTTGACAGACGGTGAACGGCTGCTGCTGCGGTACGATGTAAACACGTACAGCAGGACGTATGCATACTGCTCTATGCAACGGCAGTTACATGTTTATTGCAAGCAGGAACTTTTGGACTATAGTCTTGGATCCTTGCGTGGTGGTGGTGTAGACTACATATTGTAGTGCATGCATTCATTCCGATGTGTACACCGTAGACTGATGGGTCTGTTTCACCGCGGTGCTGCGTCGACGAAGTGCTTATGGCGGCTTCGAGTGAGAGAGAGAGAGACTATACTACTGCAGCTCAGGCACGCTTCGACTGTAGCTCAGGCGGGATTCTCTATTGTACCCCTTCTCCACTCCTCGATCCCTACCGCAATCTCGAGAGGGTCTCTACCCTCCGAAGTTTCCCTCCTTCTGCCTCTTTTCTACAGCATATAGCGACGGTCTGCTCATAAAAAGCAGTTTGTCATCTTCACAAGAAATCGAGGCTCAGAAACTTGAATACCGCAAGGACAAAAGTTTATGGCGCAAGAAATTGGGCTTAGCCGCCGGCGTCGCAATAACCTACTTGCAGCTGCTTAGATGAATATCCCGTGCTGAAATGATTGTAAGGCTTTGCCTTGCTGAAAATAGTAGACCTTTGTTAAGAACAGGTCGGCACTGCTGCACCCATCTTTGCGACTAAACGTGGGACATACTCACAAGCGAACAGACCAACGGCTCACGGTGCCAACACAGCACTCGGCTTGCCTACAGCCCTCCAAGAGTTCCCGAAATACTTGGAGAAAATCGATACTACTTATCCAAGTTGACCCCAATAACGAAGGCATCATCTTCCATGGTGAGTTGCGCTCCTCTGCTGCCCATTCGCCGATAGTGTCCCCGCGTCCCCGCCTATCGCGACGACGTTTTCAAGAGGCAAACGGATCGGCATGTTGTCGTTCGTCATCCGAGCACATCACGAGGGCGCCGGTACGATTATAATAATGCTGCTCGAAGCATGAAACTACCCCGTCCCATCCCTACCCCCTCGCGTCCTGGTCATTTATACCTCCTGCTTGTCGCAAAGCCCTCTGCACTGCTCATCTACTGTACCTCCTGCTACCTGCTGACCTGCGCAATCCTCACCTATCGTGACTTGCCATGTGCAGATACCCCAGTCAATAGTTTTAAATTACGCAGGAACTTCGGCCGGGGCGAAGGGCTTCGATCTGCCACTCACAAACCAAAACGGCCGGAATGTCGGAACGGCACGTGGGGTGAAACAACTCGATGCGGCAACCAAACGTGCCTCCACACAGTAGAACAAAGCGACAATGTCGTGTGTTCCTGACACCATTAACAATCGTTGACGAAAGCACTCACGAAAATACATGGAATTTCATTGGTGGCACTGAAAGTAATGCCTATAATATCAACAACTCCTTCCTCCAGAACATGAACTCAGACAATAAATTGTTTCCGTGCAAACTCCACTAGAAGCACTGCTGTTGCACCGGGAATCGTTCGACACCACTGCTGTTTATATAGAAGCGACCCCACAGTAAAGTCGCTACTCCTACGGCGGTCATATTTTTGGCCCCCTCCGGGGAGGTCTGCGATGTGTTTTACAGGCTCTTGTTTGCGTCGAGGACGGACGTCGTCCATGCTCTCGTCGTGCGCGTTGGGCCTCGAAGCGGTCGGTGTTGGAGAATATGACGCGCGAACGGCCTGGGGACTGGGGACGTGGCTTCCTCCTCCTCCTCCTCCTCCGTTGTGCTGTTGGTGGTGGCCGGAGCGCCGCTGCCCTGGGCCGGCGAGGCGATATGGTCAAGCATCGTCGCCGCCGGTGCCAGGCCTCTCAGAGCGCGCCCGCCCGCCCTTAGCCCTTAACCACGAACAGGGCCGTTGCCGATCCCGCGACGTACACGGCGGCGTCGATGATCGTCCGCGCGACCTTTCGCGACGACAAATCCACAACAAACAGCAGTTTTACGGCCGAGAGGGAGGGGCAAGCGAAAAACAAACGTCAGGGGGCCGGCTTATGGCGGTTCGGGCGTCGCCGATCCCTTCGCTCTTTCGGTTCGTGTTTTCCGCGTCGTACCTCCTATTAACTCCGGGGTGCTCTAGTGGTAAACCTCACAAACGTACCGGTAGCAGGGCGGCTCGGGTTCGATTCTCTCTCGGGAGAGTTTTTTTTTTTTTGGCCTACAGTTTGCGGTGGGAAACGATCATAAATGCACGCACGCTTCGGTTTTGCCGTCGACGAGGGACAGGGACGGCCTGGACCCTTTTCGCGAAAGAAAAAAGCCACAGGAGGAGAGGTTGGAAAAAAAAAAATCTCCTGGGTGACCCCGGGTGATACGTCGCACATGGAAGTTCACCGAGAGGTGTGCTGTAGACTGGCGCCAGAAGAAAAGGGGCGAACACACACATGGACACTCCTGCACGCCCTGCACAAGCAAAGTTGAGTTTGGCGAGGTAAAACACTCTAGGCATCACCCGCCTGCAAGAAAGACACGGGCGCAGGAGGCGAGACGTGGTAGATTGGACCTGCCTACAAGGTTGGAATGAAACACTGTTGTTTCTCACCATACACCAGAAGAAGAACGTGCAGATCCAGCACAGCACCGAGAAGGTCATCTCGTCCATGTCATCGCCGTCACACTCCGCGTCCTCGGAGCCGCAGGCCTCACCTGGCGACACCGCATCCAACGCAAACACCACACGGCAAGCAGCGCAAGGAGGTACACGCACGGTACATTATTCGCACAACAGAATGGTGAGGGTGCAACGAGGGGCTTCGCCATGCGTTGAGACAGCGACCTTTTTTGTGTCTACGTGTCTCGCCAACACTACGAACAAGTTCGGGTTTCAAAGACAGCTGCGATAGCTAGGGTAGAGTAAATGGGCGCTCTGCAATACAATTGTCCTTCGAGAGAAAAGGTGGAAGGATATGTATACGGATATGTATACAGAAGTGGTCAGCCACCTTCGATACAACTCGGCCCGGGTAACGGGTGGACCTTCAAGTCCAAACGAGAAGCAACAAGTGCCTCCGCGCTCCAGCCAGCTGTACTGTACGTGATAGTTAAGAGCTTTGCCGTGGAGCTTACCTGACCCGAGACCGGCATCATTGGCGCTGCTGCCTGCGGCAATAGTAGAAGCAGCCTGGAGGGAACCTGCCATGGGAACCGCGACCTTACTCCCCAAGCGTTGATTGCTGCCATGGAAAGACAGGTGGCACACGTGCAAGGAAGAAGGGAGAGGGATGAAACGCCTCTCACAATGGCATTGAGCAGCACACTTTTCTTTGCGTCCCCTCAGGTGGAGACCCCCCCTCCGAAAAGCCACCGAACGTACAAGCCAGGCCACGGTCTGCTAGTTTCACGAACGAGATTTGATCGGTTTCCGTGATCATGGCAGCCCCCGTCCCCCCCCGCTAGTGCAGGACTTTCCATGCCACTCCGTGATCCGCCAGGTACCACTAATAAACCTACGCTTGGCAAATTTCGACGAACACAAAAATCATTTCACAATGGTACTTAACTAATACCTTGACCCCGGCATAAACGACAACAGTATCGTGCTGTAGAGCGGTCCAAACACTTACAGCGGGTTGACGCCCCTGCAAATGGCAGGGTTGCGAAAGTCCTGCTGCACGTCATGAATCTGCTGGTGATGCGGCATGTAACCGTCGGCCCCCTTCATCTGCAGCAGAGTAACGGCGATCACCGCCCCCTTTGCCGCTCGAGCAGCCATCGTGGTACCTCCCTGGAGTGGTTGGGGTTTTCGGGGTAGAAAACATTGGGGGAAAGGAGGGAGGGAGGGTACAGAGACAGGTGGTGGGAACAGAGAGGGCGGGGGGCGGGGGTACTCATAGTCGTGCATGCTGTAGTCGTTAGACCATTGACCTCGCATCCCTACAAAGCCAGGACGGAGCACGCCAGGTTCTCACCGGACCAGGCTCTCACATCACCAAGCGCGAAGCGCCGTGAGGTGTTCGGTGAGTCGCATGAAGGGTGTGCTGCATCCTGCTAAGGGTGTTCGGCATCTTGTGCTTACTTCCTTGCGTACGGATGACAGCTGCGTATGACTTAATTCATTTATTTTCTGGTGCTTTCACTTCCAGAGACAGTCGTGAGCACTGTGTACCTTCCTCGAGAGTGCTTGACCAATTTAGCACAACGTGGTGCGATTATCCCCCTTGCGCGGAGTGAGGGTTCTCGACCCCGCACAACATAATCTACTCGACCACCATTCATGGTTACCGCAAAAAAAAAAAAAAGGGCAAAAAAAACAAAGCGTTAACCTGCTTGTCGAATTCACGAAGTGATCGGCTTGTTTTACAACATCGCTGCCAAGCGACGAAAGCCCAACCCCGATGGCAAACCCTGGGGCGGCGGCTTGTTTCACAACGTCGTTGCCAAGCGACGAAAACCCAACCCCGATGGCACCCATCGCCGAACGGGGGGGGGGGGGGATAGAGGGGAGGGGTGAAAAGGTGGGAATACAGGGGAAGGGTGGAAAGAATAACATGTAAGAGGGTCACCTTATCTTCACGCTTTCGGGTAGAGAGATACACTTCATTTGGATTCAACGTATCGATACAATGTAAAGACTAATAGGATCACCGAAACAGGATTACACACGGTTACCCGAAAAGAGCAAGATGTCACCCCCGTACATACCGTAGTATCACTCGATACGCATCACATATGTACTACCGGTTGTTTCTCGATATTGACACACACGCGGTGTGTTTCCTGGTTGAGCACACGGGAGCGAGCCGAAACCAACCGCGTTCGTTCGCTCGTGTGCATCATGTCGATCCTGTGGTCACTTTCTTCGCCGGGCGTCAAAGCCCAACCAAACACGCACAAATATCGAACTATCAAACCATCGAAAATAAAAGAAGACGCATGCTTGCGCATACATACTGTTGTTGCATGCATCCAATCGTGATCACACCAGTACGTCCCGAGTCACTTGACAGGATAATATTATCTGACGTTCTCGGGGTATCTCAGCGCATGTCGCCCAAATTTCTCACGCTGTGCATCCGAAAGAAAATCCTGTGCTACATACAATAAGAATAGCAAACCAACAGCCAATCCCCGATCCACACTCTCTCCGAGGCTCCACCACGAGATGACCACTATTCGTCAAGAAACCAAGTCTGGCATACGTCCGTCAAGTGCGCCGGGTGCGAGTGGGCGTTGTGTGGTGCGTGTTTTTTTTGCCTCAACGAAGTTCAAGTTGCGGGGCGGGCCTCTGTATTTTGGGCGGGTTGACCATTTACACCGGCAACTTTTTTTTGCGGGAAGCGAAGCAATTCACAGCGCTGGACAAGCAGGAGTGCCGGCTCAACCTAGGACCACGTGTGTGAAGTCGGTGGCTGTTGCATAACCCGTTAGCTATCAGCCGGTGCAATAGTAGTACCGCGATGTGTGCGCTGTGAAGGATGGATGAGTGAGGTGGTTGGCAGCAAAAGGTTGGAGGTTCGTTGCGTGCAGCAGCATCGCGCTTCAAGAGAAGCTTTTTTTGTTTGAAAGATGGACTGAAAAACAAAATATTATGCTGCGCGCGCGTTGCCTGCAATCGTTGTCCACGCCATCGTGTATATATACGCGTACTATATACGCGTACACCACACAGGAGCCCGGCTCTACAGGAGTCCGACTCTGTTGCCATAGGAAGTAGGGAGATAAGCACGTCAAGGGTGACAGCGGGTCTGGGTTTTGCTTTGGCCTTTCGTGTTGCCAGCAAAAAGCAAGCGGCGGTGCATCCATCCATGACGTGGAAAATTTCCAACCACAGCGCTAGAAGAAGTATATCATACCGTACTTCGAACTTTGGCCACACACGACGCCCGCTCTCAACCATCGACTGCTGCTGTAACAAGGCGGCGAGGAGGAAAGCACAACATCACGTATGTACCCCACGGAAGGCAAGTATCCCTTTTCCAAGACCTCTCTCTGGTCCTGTATCCATTATCCGTCTGTTCTGTTTCCCATTCCCATTCCCATCCATGGGTACGTCGTGGTCTCCGTCCGGTGTGCTTCCAAGACTTCAAAAAAACGTGCGCCCACCTTCAACGCCTCTCCCTGAGACAAACGATCTCTGCCTGCGGCCGTGACGAGTCGTTGCTGCTGTCACACCTATCCGCTGCTGCTGGTGTGGCTGGGATTCTCAGTGCTATATATCTTGCTCTCTCCTATGCCCCACCAGCTAGCTGGTGTGGTTTGGAAAGCGGAGATGGACTGGAGAAAGTGTGTGTGCGGTTGGTCCGCTGCTGTTGTTGGTGTCTTTGTTGTTTTGTTGCTCTGGCAGGCAGATCCACCGGTCACTTCGGGGTCAACTTGCGTGCAACTTGCGCCAACCGACTCTTTCTACCGTTGGAAGCTTGCATGGCATACCAGGCAATCGGAACGGCTTTTTTGGTTTGGTCTGTGATGCCATTTGAATTCCCAACGGAAAGAAACAAAAATACACACCGCCTTTTACGCCAAACTACGAAACGCCCCGAAACTCGAAACGCTCGAAACGGTGTGGTTTCCATCCAACGCATCTCCGGTCTCCAGTCTCCAAAACGTATCTCAACGGTCGAACGGTCCAACGGCAATAATATGGACGGTTCGTTGCTGGGCTGCGCAACGGGACGTTGTCAAAACTGGGAGCCCCGCCTCCGACACGCCCCCCCCCGCCTCGAATTACAGGGGAGATTTGTCTTCCGATTTTCCGGCTCTCCCCGCGATAGACGGTCACACCACACAACAGATGCTTTTTTCCGAGGTGAGTTGTTTGTGCTGTTGTGGTCCTGGCTGATGGCGAATCGCTAATCTTGTAGACTAGCGCACAGATTTGTGAAGAGAAGTGCGCTGGGGAGGACAGCGAACAGGGAGAGCAGCCACATGACCTCGGTGAGCCTGCACTGCAACGATTAGACTAAGCGCCGGAGACACAGACACGCATACATTCATTCATGTATGCATTTTGGCCGACCTACCTACGCAGATGAAAAATAAATATGGTGTAGGTACTCGCACGCCAGAGTGTGTTGCAATAGCACCAACGATAGTACCAACGAGTGGAAGTAGTAGATACCTGGAGAGTGACGCAGGAAGCAGGAAGCGGTGTTATAATGATGGTTGCGACATATCGATCGATGGTCACATGTGGAGATCGGATCGTGGTCGGTCCTCGTCGATCATGATGATCACAACAAGTACCGAAAATTTGAATTTTGGGAGCAAGGACGGACCATATATATGTAGTCTAGACTAGATGTCGCTGCCCATCAACTTATCCTACAAAAAATGCTTCTACTGCTGTATCAAATTATCTTCCTCCGCATGCCTCTGCCGTTTATATTTGACGCGCTGTCGCAACACAACTAGAGGAACGTGCTATGCATACAGCAGCAAGCAGCAGTACTTGTACCGACAGACAGTAGTACTTGTGAGCATCATCAGTAGAAGAAGTACGGCTTTTTTGGCACCATGTTGAAACCAATATATTTTTCCTCCACAACGGTCCGCGCGGCGGGCTGTTCAGTTGTTCGTATGCATCAGCTACTCAGCTACAGTAGTACGCAGCTATTCCATGGATTGGAAATCTATTCTTTATTGTGTCAGAGTCGTGTCCTGCAGACGACGCCACAATGATATGGAGGAACAGAGAAATAAAAAGGGAAGGGAGCAAGTAAGTCCGTTGCTCCTGGCTTTATTGGGTACTCACAGTTAGTTGTTGTTTGATCTCTTGTTTAGCCTTCTTAGGCCAGGTCCGCTCAGCGCCCACTCAGAGAGTGAGGGAGCGTGGCTGGGATTTTTTTTATATTTCTTCAAGGTACTTCAATACCCCTCAACGACGCCAAATATCCATATCCAACAAAAGTTCAATATATCCAATTTTGCGCTCATACAACGTTCCTGAAACGCTCATACAATGCTCATACACTTATTGCTCCGTTAGTCTACATCTTCGTGAATAGCAAGACAAATAGGCATACTAATCGAAAATCGGGGTCCGTCCGTGCGGGAGGGCAGGGGGGGTACTCATAGATAGTCAGTCGTGCATGCCGTACGTAGTCCTTAGATCGTTGACCTCGCATCCCTACAAAGCCGGGACGGAGCACGCCGGGTTCTCACCGGACCAGACTCTCACATCACCAAGCGCGAAGCGCCGTGAGGTATTCGGCGAGTCGAATGAAGGTTGCGCTGCATCCTGCTAAGGTTGTTCGGCATCTTGTGCTTACTGTACTTCCTTGCATACGGATGACAGCTAGCTGCGTATGACTTCGTTTATTTTTTGGTGCTTTCACTTCCTTCCAGAGACAGTCGTGAGCACTGTGTACCTTCCTCGAGAGTGCTTGACCAATTTAGCACAACGTGGTGCGATTATCCCCCTTGCGCGGAGTGAGGGTTCTCGACCCCGCACAACATAATCTACTTGATCGACCACCATTCATGGTTACCGCAAAAAAAACAACCCAAAGGAAACAATAATAGAAGCGGTAACCTGGTTGTTGAGCTCACGAAGTGAACTGCTTGACTTACAGCATCGCTGCCAAGCGACGGAAAAGTCAACCCCGATGGCAAACACCGGGAGGGGAGGGGGGGGGGTGTACTCATAGTCGTGCATGTCGTAGTCGATAGTCCATTCACCTCGAGGGGGGCGGGGGCGGGGTGATTTGGGTGGGGGGCTCTAATTTCTATATATATGCGTAAGGGGCACCGCGGGTAGAAAAACCTCTGCTGTAGGGGGGTCAATGACTAATGTTCGTGAACGATGTTCGAGGCGCTCTGCCGCCCTCAGCGGCTGGTGTCGAGACTGGGTACTAAGTTATCCCAGGAACAGCAGCTGAAGCAAAAGAACCATGTATTGTATATCCGACACGCAAGCCCCTCAGGCAAGCTGGTCACACTACCTACGACATGGAGTGCTCGTCAGGCGAGTGGTATCCTACACGCAAGCGCCTCAGGCAAGTGCACCGCCGTGTGCTCACCCGGAGGCCCCGCACTTGGACCTCAACCGCAGACATACTCATCACGCCCATACTTCCCGTACGCGTATCCCCCACAGAGGATGCACAGATCGGACTCATATCCAAGTACCACAAACAAACGAAGCCCCCGATACTAATCCCTATAAATCAAAATTGCCCTTCCCGGGGGGGTGGCCTGTGTGTCGAGATTTTTTTTCTCATGGAGACCCTTGGCTATTCGTAAAGTTTTCCTCGTAACCTCCGACCTCCTTGAGTAGGAGGGAGGCGCTCCTGACTCCTATTTGTTTAGCCTTGCGGTCTAATCTTCGGGAGGGGGAAAACAATCACAATAAATTTGGCATATTCTTATGGAAAGCGTATACATTTGTGGGAGCGACAATCCTGGCTGCATAGGCCCTGACTTCGACTCCTCCGTGTCAGCAACTGATCCAGCTACAGTACAGCTGTCGTGCTAGATGACGCAGCAGGTAACCCTGGCCCCGTGCGGATCGTAGATGTCCCATGGTAACTCCCAGGAGTCGTTCCTCTCATGTTAGGCTTCACAGGACCACTCTGAGGGGACTGGATGAACTGAGTAGCGCCGGGTGGAGCAGTGTAACCTGAACAGTCGACTGTTGTTCAAGATCTTGTTGCCGCTAGCGATGAATAGTAGCCCTTCACTACAGTATGGACATCCGCGATCACCATACAAACCCTCAACACAGTTTGGGAAGGAAGTGCGACCCCATCTGTTCTGCTCGCGGTACAATTTTGAATAGGCAAGCACAGGGGAGGAGTGTCGTCATGTAAAGTAAAAGTGGGCGGCATTCACTCCATTCGGCATCGTACATTCTAGACGCACCAGCCTGGGTCACGCGACACACCCATTCGGCACAGTATGTGTACATTGAAGACGCGCCAGATGGGGTCACACGGCACGCCGGATTTTCTTTTTTGGTCGCGATCAAGAATCACCCGCTCTGCCACGCTCTGTTCCCCTTGTTGCGTACGCACGAAATGGAGGCTTTCAACATGAATTCAGACCAAAGCCAAGGCTCGCCTATATTTATAGTGGCTTGGCGAAAGAAAGGTGAAGAACAAATGAAAACCAGAGTGTTTATACTGTTGTTTACCTTTTTCTCAAGGTGTAACCTCGCATGCATGTGGTCAATCTCCCACACTACCGGCAGTTCTGCTAAGCCGCCCATGAGACACCCATGGAGTACCCATGGGCCGCCCATGGGCTGCCCATGAAGTGCCCATGAAGTTGCCACCGTGGGCACTTCAACCTAGAACTTAGCCACCGGCATATCCACCGAGAACTTAGCCACCAGCGTCAACCTAGCACGCATCGTGTGGGCTTGGGGTTAGGGTTATTTGCCACTACAATGAATGCCCGTTCCAAAGCAGATAAATCTAATGTTTAGGAGTACACTGGTTCTGGTTGAAGGGCACCACAATCTGGCCGCCCATGCGCTGGGCATGGGCTGCCCACGGGCTACCCATGGGCTTGCCCGTGGGCAGTCTCCATGAGTATACCCATGGGCAGCCCGGGCCCAACGTGGTGCCCATGGGCGGTTTGGCAAAACTGTGGGAGACCCCATGTGGTGTAACCCCCATGTGGTGTGACAAACAGATACTGGCCGAAATATATACCTACCTGTAGAGCGTCGCCCAGACAGAACAGGAAACACACCGAACCTCCGAAGACGCGGTTTCCTCCCGCGGTGTGCTTTCCTTCGATTTTTTACAGCGAACGGATACCACGCAGGCCCCCTTTGTTTCATGTGTGTGTACCGAAGTGTGTACGGCAGGTTCAAGGTGAACGCACGAAGTTGGTCAGCACACTACATACATCGATAGATGTCCACAGCCTGGTACATGTGTACTTCAGATGGTGCCCGCAGCCGTCAAGAACTGGAGCCTCGAAAAACTCAAAACCTAACCTTGCCCTGCAGCCTAGGAACTAAGATCCTCAGCCCCGGCCTTCACTTGGGAGTATCCAAGTGGGGGCGCCTACTGTAGACGTGATACAAATAAATTGGAAATTGTGGTATGGCTGGATTTCTTGTCGAAGGCATAACCGCGGTGCTCGAGGTGCAGAAAATGAATCGTAGTTCAACCGATAGGTGAGCCCTTTTCGGGACGTTCATATCGGTGGGAGAGGGAAAACCTCTTTCCCAACACCATGCATGATCACTGTCGCCTTTTAGTATCACATAGCATCCCGCATATTCCGGGTGTCACAAGGCAAAAAACAAAACATTCACAAATATTGTTGGGGGATTACGTCATACGCCAAAAACTATGCCAAAATGTGGGATGCGGCCGTTGGCGTCTGCGTCCTCTCGTATCTATGGTCCCAAACGGATGGCATGGATAGGTAATACGACAAACAATGAAAACGTGTGAAGGTTGCTGCCTACGTCAGTCGGGCTGACCCGTCCCTCATGGATAGGACCCCCGAATATAAGTCCCCAACTGCCAAAATAAATATAGAAGTACGACGTTGAATTTTGAAAAAGTGATGTTGTTGGGTCGATTCTTGCTCTGAAGATGCCGAGGTGTAGCACCCGAGCATTTGAAACTTGACCGCCGTACAAAGGTATACTAGCATCCACGTGCGCTTTGCACAGATGAAGAATGCGTATTGACGAAACCCGCCACGAGCGTGAAAGTAATTTCATTCCCGTTCGCGTCCAAACAAGCCCTATTGACCCCCATGACCCTGGGACCACTGAGCGACTGGCGCACGAATAAAACGACCAACACAGCATGTATGTATTAGCTTGGAAGGCTTTCTAGGCAGGTATGTTTGCTTGCACTGGCCTGCGCAAACGTTGCGGGGGGTGTTATCTCGAGAGAGACACGCGGGCGTTCATTCGATGTTGAGAAAAAACGACCAACATTCACCACCCCCGGATGCTCTTTTTTCACTTGGTGGTTTTACGAGTTGATCACGTCGGAAGAGATTCGAATTCGCAAGCTTGATAAAAACGGATACTGCGAGGATACGCACTGGTACCAGTTTTGGAATTACTCAGCACCGTTCGCTGCAGCAATGACGGGTTAGGCGCAGCATACAAAGATGCCTGGACGCCACAAAATCTGTCCGGGATGTCCACGAAGCGTCGTGTCCACGCCCGTGTCCACGCTGTCGTCTCGTCTTGTAAAGGCCCAGCTCGTTACCATGGGGCGTGTCTGGGTAGAGAGAGGCGCCGCGAAACACACCAAGAAATATCACCGCCGTAACTGCCTTAAGCAGATGGCATACATCATTGCCGGATAACGCTTGATGCAGCAACGACAACGACAACAACGCAAGAGGGAGCAACAAGAGTTCGGTCAAAAGGCCAATTGTTGTTGCAATCGTCGTGGTCGCTGGAAACTCCGTCCCCAGCATACCCCTCGCTGCTGCCCCCCCCCCCCAAAAAAACAAAATCCGTCTCCCGGCACCATGGAGGGTCAGTTATGTTGCGCTGCATGCTTACGCAAACATGCCTTTTCCGTTCGAAGACCAAACCCGCCACCATCTAGCTATCGCTCCTCTGGCATGGGCGCACATCCCTGAAAATGTACCTGCCAAAGTGGTGTTGTCACGCGTATATTGTGTCGCCTATCACAGGCGTGCTTGCTAACGTTTGGTGGAGACAACACGCCATTTTGGAGATAATTCCCCCCCCCCCTCCCCCCCCTTAACCCTGTTCTGCTGCTGTTGCCAGGTCTGTGTTGAAAGCAGTCGAACGCCGCCGTCGAACCGAGTGACGTCATTTTGGGTACGTCTATCGAAAATGTTCTTCACGCTACGTTGGCAGGGCGTTGCTTCGCCGTCGACTACCGTCCGAGACTCCGGGCATTCGAAAAGTTGCCGAAAGACCCCAAGAAGATTCCTGAAAAGAGTTAGCGGGTGTCAACAAAGGTACATACACCCTCAAAAGCTATAGATGTGAAACCAACGCGGTGCATCCGTTTGCACCTGGGAATGCGTCCAGGGGCATTTTTGTAGTCCCTTGGATTCCGAAAACAAAGAATGAGAGCACGCGATGAATCAGTTTGCACCGGGAAATGCGTCCCGAGCTTTTCGTGACTTGTTGAACTGCGCAGTAAAAATGAGAGTTTGTTGTGGTGCGGAATGCGGTTTGCTCAAAACATGAAAAAATAGTTGCCCAGAGCAACTTGGGCACGTGTTCCGCCGCATCGCCGAGAGCATATGTGTTGTGTGGTAAATGCGTAGGGGGGCTGTTGAGAGCTTGTTTTGATTTCCCTAGCCGAAATCCTCCGCCTGCACAACACGTTTATTTCCCTTGTGCCTCGAGGGAGGTGTAGCCGTATCCTTAGAGACGACTGTTTTTTCCCCCTCGCCTGGCGAGCGTGATTTCCGAGTTTTTTTCATGTCTTGTTGTGTGTCTCGTGGTTGACGTGAGCCCTCTCTGCACCCGCTCGTCTGAACCACCGGTGGACCCCACAGCCGTCTCCTCCTGGCGTTGGTGATGTCAGTTACAGTCGTGGGCGTCGCGGAAAGCAACAGTAAGTGGTGGCGCACCCGTGCCTTGTTGTATGGAGCGATGAGCGCTTGTCTGTGTCTATATGTGCGCCGTTATACGGTCATTGATGGACAGTGTGCGCCGGTCATTGATGGACAAGGAGACCTCGGTTGTAGTGTGTCGCCATTACAGTAGTGTGTTTTGTGGGCGTCGGCTTATTCCAAGTGTGTTCAGGAGGCGTACGCCGGGGGGCTGAAGTGGAAAGCCATCTACAGACCACAGACAGTAGGGTTTCGTGTGTGTGGGCTTCTTTGTTATTTTCGTCGATGGCGCCTACCGGCTAGGAAAATATTTGTGTGTACCATCTTTATTTAATGTTAGCGTCGACCGCGCTGACCGGCTAACCAAGGCAATGACGTCAGTACCAGTGCGGCTGAAAACAGAGAGTGCTTCAAGAAGCCATGATGTGGGACCCCGTAAGGGGGCGTCATTGGAGAGGCTAGTCTATTTTCTGGACAAAAGACAGACACGGTAGCAGATGAGAAAAATGGTCCGTTCTACCAAGGCCTCTACTTTCTCAATCTCCCACACTTGTGCCCGTTTTGCTAATCCGCCGATGGGGCACCCATGAGCTGCCCAAGATGTGCCCACCGTGGACCCTTAAACCTAGAACTCGCCACCAGCATCTCAACCTAGAACTTAGCCACCGGCACATAAACTAGAATTTAACCAGCGCCAACCTAGCACGTACCGTGTGGGCTTGGGTTAACGTTAGGGTTTAGCCGGTATTTTGTTCCTTCCAAACCAGATATTCTGTTGTCAGGATTACCCTGGTTCCGGTTGAAGGGAACTCATTGACGATCCATAGGCTGCCAAAACCATGGGCAGCCCACGAAGTGCCCACCATGGGCTGCCCATGGGTTTTTCCCATGGCCGGCCCGTGGGCTGTCTATGTGCAGCCCCGTGGGCACACGTGGTGCCCATGGGCGGTTTCCGACAGTGTGATCGACCCTACTTATTCCTCGTGTTTGTTTCGGGCCCCTTCTCACGGTATTGTCGCTTCGATCATCCTCATTGCATTTACCACTCTCTTGGCTCTTGCCTCTACCGCTCCTTTTGGGTTATCCCGTATTTCGCCGGCGCTTGTTGTGTGGAAGGCTCGACTGGGTGGGAACGCTTTCTCTCTTCCATGCCTCCTCTTCCCTCGCGTCGATCATGGTGTTCGCATCGACGACCGCGCAAGCCGGCTGACCAATGAAAAATACGCCCGGTCTCAGTGCGGCGAAATACCGCACAACGTTTCTCAAGGCCATGACCTGGTGTGTGTGTGTGTGTGTCGCTTTCTTCGAGTACCGCCAGTCATGCACGAGTTAACTATCCCTTTACCCATGACCTTGCCTTTGTTCCGTCCCGTGCAGTGCTGGTTGACTTGCCTTCGGGGTTCAAGTGCATGTGGTACAACCTATCGCACCCTGTCCAGTTTGCGGTACTGCTAGTGGTAAGTGCCCTCTCCTGGGCATGTATACCCATGCTTGAAGGTGGATTGTCGGTGTCTGTACACATGTGCCACTCCCGCTGCTCGCGTTGTTCGATGCACAAAGCCTGGAGGCAGGACTATCGATGGCCGTAGAACAGGCTCAGAAGTTGCTTGTGGTATCCTCCGGGCTCCCAATAGAACCCGGCGCGCCCAATGCTGATCCGAATCCCGCGCAGATGCCTGCGCTCTTCTTGGGGGTGAACCGGATGTTCGGCATGCTCGACAAAGCCGCCTACGCTCGGCTATCTCGGGCCGTGTCTGCTTGGATGAACGAGAAAAGGCAGGTGGATCAGATTTAGTCCTCCCGAGACCAAGACAATCAAAGCAGAAGGAAGACTTGCATGCCCTGTTCGACTTAGCAGGGTCGAGTCTCATGCGGAAAGGTTTGGGGGTCAAAGAAAAAGGAAAGGGGCACAATCGCGATCTGTTTCGCATTTTTTACTCCTTTTGGGCACAGGCCTCTTGTTTCAGGACAAGACTGGCAACACGGTCAAAGGCCAGGCGCTCGTTTTCGCCAATATTTCGTGTAGTGTAAATATTTTATCGTTTCCATCTTAGTTTTGTTCGGCTGTGACGGGTGACGGCGCGAGACTGCTGGTGCCGTTGCATTTGTCGAAGGTGGGTGTCGAGAGGATAGGAAACAACCATGTAGGATGTTCGCCACTGTGTTGAATGTTGCTCAGGGCACTTAGGAACTTGGTCCTCGCTGCGCGTCTGGCCCAAACTGAGAGGCCGGTCGTCAACTCAGAAAGCGGTGACGTTGCCTTTCGCGTTCACGAGGGCGACAAAGTCTGCAGGACGTGAATGCGTCTCAGCATGTACAGTTAAGTAGGAGGAGGAATCGTTTCCCTCTTGGTTTAGGTTGTTGTTTCTTGGGGTGTTTTATGTTTGTGTATTTATGGCGTTTTGCATGGCGTAATCGTCCTAGGCTAGTTAGTTGGTATAGTCTCGTTAGGTCCTCGTCGTTGATATTTTCGGAGGTACGTGCTGTAGTAGAGCAGAAAAAACCTTCGTGCGATTTGTTTAGACGTGCTTGTGATTTCAAGTACTGCTGTTATGTTGGTTGGGTCCGTCAATGTCGAGGTGAATACCAGCACGTGATGACCTGGCCGCAGTCACCCGCATATATCTACAGTTTCTACGCTTCGTTGATGTCTCGTTGTGAGTTCCTTGATGATGACAGCAAGTTTTCCTTGTGAATTTCGGGCTTTGTGTGTTGCTTCTCTGGTACTGCAACAGAGCAGCCCGTCACAGTATCCATACCGAAGGAAGTTTTGACCTAGTTGACGATGACAGTTAGTTGTCTTTGTTTCTGGTACTTCGAAAGGGCAGGCCGTCGCAGTATCCATACCGAAGCAAGTTTTGACCTAGGGGAGCCACATGAGCATGGATGGGGTTAGGTTTAGGGTTAACGTTGAATTCGGTCGCGCCCATCGTTTCGAGAGCTCTTGTTGCCGCCCAGATCGTCGTCCCGCGGTTCTGCCACGACGGCATCGCGCTTTTCAAACATCGTTTAGGATGGCAACGAGGCCCCCGATATAATAAACGCGAGACGTGAAGCGCTGATGACGCAACAGCGGGCTTTCCGAGCCGGCCCGCCAGATGGCGGGCTTTCTTGCCTTGCGTTGATGCATTTCGCACGGATGTCACCCAGTAGATGTTGGCTGGAAGTCAGTGATGGATTCCAAGATTGGTAGACCCATGCTGAGGTTGTTTAGACCTAACAGAGAGTGTCCCCTTCACTCTTTTAAAATTCCCTGCGTGGTCTACCGTATCTTAGAAAGGGAGACTCAAGCGGAGGGTTCAGTTGGCCTCTTTAGGATATTATCGCGTTTTCAACACACAATATATTTTGTGGTTGTTTACACCACCAGCTGACGGCCCCGTAAAACACGATGATTTGATTGGCTGTGAAGCTATTCGATGAGGGCCGGAGGTTTTGTTGGCCTCTAAAATGTGGGCTAATCGTCGACGCACACGACTCTCACGTGAGTTGTGTCTTGTCACCCTTTTCGGGGGTAGACGACGGTGTGACGAGGCATGCTTGTAACGTTCGCACGACGCGAGGCGTGGTTGTACGTTTGTACGGCGTCTCTCTCGTGCAAGTGTGCTTCTGCAGAGTGGGCCGCCTTCCCTACTAGTCAGTCCACACCGGGAAGGGACGGATGGATGGCGGTCTTGATGTCCAAAGTCGTTGTTAAATATCCAAAGTAATCAACCTCGAACGGCGACCATCAGTGCTCTGGCCGCCGTGAAACCGGTCTCCCTCACGAAGACGATGTTGAACTCTGTGTGCTCCTCGTCAATACCGCTCCCCCCAGCCCTCGGTAGTGTACCGCATCAGGACTCTTGGGCAGGGCAGGCAGTAGACGGTGGAAGTTGCGTCGCCAGGTCGATGCATCGTCGGGTGAACCCCGCCGAGCTCTTCCGAATCGTTGTCGCTACATTCCACTCTTCCTTCAGTACGGGTCGCACTAGTCGCCGAGCTCTTCTTCCCAATCGTTGTTGTTGCTGAATTCCACTCTTCGGAACCGGACGTAGAAGAAGTCGCAAACTCTCCCTCGACTTAGGGCGTTGTTGCTCTCCTGTCCCATCATGATGAGCTCCCTCTGCCCAGTTCGGTCCTGCAGGGAATCTCCACAAGAACTTCTTCGTCCCTGTAATAGCCACCTACAGAAACGCGCCCCACCTTCAGAACTTAGCCGTGAAGAACGTGAGCCTCGTAATATCCAATATTGAAGAACTTGGCCATAAGAACAGGTACTACTCAGTTCCGACGCGACATTAAGAACAAGAACCCGCCCTTATGACGCGACATTAACAACAAGAACCCGCCCTTATGGTGTACCAAGACGCGTAGAGATGACAAGAATGGAGCCCCGAAACGGGGCGGCAGCAAGATAAGAACTCAGGAGGGTGCGGGGTGACCCAAACAGCAGTTAGTTTCAATTCGAGGCGGGGGGGGAGAGGATCTCGCGATAAAATGCTTGTACGTGCGGAGGGGAAGGGCGTACTCTCTCTCATGTTTCGCATGCCTTGGCGGTTCGCCCATGGACCACACTTCCTCGAGAGGACGCATCGTTGTTCCAACAGAATCGATTACCGATGGCCAATCGTTCCTTCCCACTTCGATGTACTTTGCCAAAGAAGTTGGCTCAATAGTGTTCTCCCTAGCCTATTATATCCTATCGATATCACTTCCCGCCTTTTCAACCCACTTCTTTTGCCCCGGTACAGTCACCGTCTTCTCCTGCTGGCTATTCCATGCCTCAAACATCTCCCTGTACCCTTTCCTTCTACTTGTCCAACTCAGTCATGTACGTTCTCTGTCCTTGTCGCCGAACACGGACGTTTCGCAACAACATGAACCCGGTCTTCACACTCGCAGCCGCGTTCACATTTGAACTTACTTGTCGTCTTCATCGTCTTCCTTAATCTTGGTCAACGTTCTCAAAGGTCGTTGTCCTCAGTCCTGAAATTGACCTTCGGCTTTGTCGTTGCATCCCATTGGTCCATTAAGTGCCTACTATTTCTTTCAACATTCTGCACACATCTAGTGTAGACCCCTTTGTCCTTGGATTCGTTTTTTAGGTTTTGTTCTCTCTCGTCAAAAGCAGCAGATTTGTTGTTCTTGAACCCCTCTAAACCTACAGTGCGGTTCCATTGATGAACCTTTTACCTACGGTTCGTTTCCAATGTACGAACCTCATCGATTCCGGACTCTTCCATACGTCATCTACAGCCTTATTCCGCTCCCTGGGTTGTTACCCCTATGATACTTGTTTGTCCACTTCGCCCCCCAAGCTTCTCTCGGCAACTTCTCTTCTATACCATACATTGCATACGGGAGTAGTACTACTTGCCATGTCAGCTTCCTTACGCCTCTTCCCAATCGTAGGGGTTGGATCCCAAGGGGGGGCGCACTCTCTCTCTCATGTTTTGCATGCCTTAGCGGTTCGACCATTGACCATGCGTCCTCGACAGAACGGAGCGTTGTTCCCACAGGACCGATCACCGATGGTCAATCGTTCCTTCCTACGTTGCCCAAGAGGTGGCTCAAAAAGGTTTCCCTAACCTATACTTCCTATCGATATCACTTCCCACGTTTCATCCCGCTTGCAACGCCCCAGTGCATCACCTACCGTCGTCTTCTAGCTAGCTATTCCATGCCTCAAACGTCTCTCTGTACCTTTTCCTTCTACGTTTTCCCAGCCCAATCACGAGCATTTCCCTCTCCTTTGTACAACCGACATTCCCCAGGCACATGAACATTGGTCTTCGCACTCGGAGCCGCATTCATGTACGTCTGGATTTGTCGTCTTCGTCTATCTTCCTACAAAAATCTTCGTCTACGTTCTCGAAGGCCAACGTCCGCAGTCCTAAATTTGACCACTTTGTTAGGTAGGTACTCCTTGAAGTCTTTTCCTTCTTTCAACATCCCGTACACATCCAGACCCTCCGTGTCGTCCTTGGTTTCTTTGTTTAGATTATGTTCTTCTCTCTCGGCAAAAGCAAGATATCTTTCTCCTTGGACCTCTTCTCTATGTAGACTACTGTAGACCTTCCGATTCCAGTGGATCACCTTCGTCAATTTCGATCATATTCCATGCGTCATCTAGTCTACACCCACTCCGTAGGTTGGTACGGTAACTCTTCTTGTTTGCCCACTTCGCCTCCCTATTTATTTTCGGCAACCTCTCCTCTCCCATACCGAACATGCGGTACTGCCATGTAGGGGGTGATAATACGAGTGTCTCGTGATGAAATCCACCCAGAAAGACCTGTCTGTGTCGTCTGCGTAGGGCCAATCGGTTTAGAAATAATAAGAACAAGAACGAACCCCGGTTATCATAGGTGGATGCCTGCTCCAAATAAGAACTTGACAAACAAGAAGATGTGCTCGGTTGGAGGCAACCAATAAGCGTCGAGCCATAAGCTAAATAAGCGGTTCTTACGTGGTGTCGCGTTCTGTGCCTCTCTTTCTCCTCGCGAAGAAGGTGATCCCTCCGGCCTTTCCGGGCCATGAGATAATGCTTGCTGTAGTAGCCTTCCGACATGACGGGGGAATAGGTTGAGCTTCAAGGGCGAAAAGTTGCTCCTGACGGGCGTCTTCCGTGATAAGCGAAGGAAAAGAAGTGCCATCCTGATACTTCCCTTGGACTACGGTACTGCAAGACCGTTGACCAAAGGTGTCGAGGGGTGCTGTGACGATGGAAACCCAAGTCTGGCGGCCACGAAGATTCGGGATCGCGTACTCCTCATCAGTATCATTCAGGTAAGCAGTTTTCATTTCCTATCTGAACTCAAGCTCTGTAGACCGTCCACATGGCGAATAACCTATTTCTGTTCTCGCTCACGCTCCCTTCTTTCGTTGCCTCTCTCCCCACACAAACGCTTCGGGCGGATAAGACACTTGAAACTATTCAGTTCGCATGCAGACTCACGCTTCGAGGGCGTCTTCGGATGAATAAACGAAACTAGGTGCATGCCTACACTCTGCAGGCAACACCGTATCATTGGGCGTCCTTGCTTCTCAATCGCACACACAACCTGCCATCACATGTGTGTCCGTGGCCGGTCATGACCTTCCTGCTCTACAGTAGCAGGCGCCCACCCTGAAGAACCTCTAGTTTCGGCCGAGGCGGAGGTTCGACGTACCTATAATAGGGTTCCGCCACGAATGTCCACAACGTAGGGATCAGTGTAAGGGGTTCCTAACCGAGCCAACGACCGAGCTCACAAATAAACATATTGTGCTCAAGTTCGTTCAGGTTGCGAGGTTGCCGAGGGTCAACTTCTTAGCCGCCAAGGTTGTAAGTGCGGGCGCCAAGTGCAGCAACGAGGAAGACACCCTTTATCACATGTACGTTCGTTCGTGGCCGGCGATGACCTGCCTGCTGGAAGGCAGCAAAAGACAGTCAAGAGTCCTGCGCCCAGGCAACGAAGTGCAATTCAAGAAACAAACAACAAAATCGCGGGGATCCAAAACGTTCGGGCTTGGAAGATTGACCGTGCATGCCATCGTTACCCTCACACTGCAGGTCGAAGTCTCTCAGAGGCACGTCGCCGAGCACCAGCATCTCACTCGGCACAACACCTGTTAGCAATGTCAAAACAACACTTACTTCTACAAGCAATAAACCACTATTATCCTGCGGCGCCAATCACGCCAACCCCCCAAGAGAGCCTGCCTGCCGCCAGCCCTGTTTGTACTGTGGTGCGGTGAATAACTCCCCCTGCCCGCGGTATTAGGTGCGTGATGAGCGTGGGAAGCACGCTCTCTGTCGCAAACACAACAGGCACAGGAGGCGTGCGACATGCTTCGATACAGCCGCGTGTGTACCCAAAAAAAACCTCACGTACTCTCCTTTGACACTCATCAACCAGCCCGCAAGGGACTTTGGAAACATCAAAAAAAGGCACGAGCAACTCACAAGGGTGCAAAAGAGAAAGACAGCAAGAGGAACAATTTGTTTCCGAGCAACTAACGGGTACTTGCGGCTGCGCGCAAAAATGCCGATCATCGACGGCCAATCGTTCCTTCCTACAGTACGTCGCCGAAGGTGGCTCAAAAAACTTTTTCCCTACAACCCTATGAGGTGCGACTGGGGGCGTGTACACTTAGTCGTGCATGCCGTACGAAGTCATAGACCATTGACCTCGAATCCTTACCAAGCCCAGACGGAGCATGCCGGGTTGTCACCGGACCAGGTGCGCCTAAGCAGGGGGGATGCGAAAAATTGTCAAATCACACGTACCCCCCCTTTCCTTCAGGAGAAAATCGGCTGTTCTATCCAAGCCCGCAAACCGGTCAGCGTCCGAGCAAGCGCCTCTGACTCCACCACAAGGTGGCCGGCTGGCAGAGAAGAGGGGCCACGGGGTGTCGAAGACTCGAAACACTGCTACACTATTTTTTTTTCCAATAATAGCACAACCCTCCACAACCCTCCCTTTCTTGCCCGCCCCCCTACCCCCAACCATATTGTAGTTCTTACACTTGCTAAACAGAAACAAACCGGTCGAGCATTGTACACGAACGAAGTTAAGACAGACTGTAGAGCAGACGCAACCCGGGACCAAACCACGCAAGTCATGCTACTACCAAGATGCGGAGGGGCGCGCCCGTCCAACATGGAGCTAGCAAGGCAAGTCATCGCCACCCATTCTATCGAGAAACAAAGGAGCGTGCCCGTCCAACGTGGACCAAGCAAGCCAATCCATCGCCGCTCATTCTATCGAGAGAGCCTACGGAGCGCGTCCGTCCGACATGAACCAAGCACTTTGGTCTCGGCCATCAGGCAACATACGATCCCACTTCCATCAAGGATGTGGAAAACACGTCTCGAAAGCCAAGCGGCTGTTGCGGGGCCGTCACAGCATGCTGGGCCGCGGCCCGCCGTTCCTCGATCCCTTCGTACACCCACACGCCCTTCTCGGCGGTGTTAGGCAGTGCCGTAGACCTGGCGGAGACGTTGTCGGAGGGAATGGGGGGAGTTGAGATCATGGACAGGGACACAAAAATGCAACAACGATTTTTGGCAGAGACCCATCAACAACACGCGGAGGAGGAGGGTGTGCGTGTGTATGTGTGTTTTTTTATTCTTAGCATCGACCGCGCTAACAGGCTGACCAATGAAAATACGTCAGTCTTAGCGCGGTTGAAGACACAAATTTGAACACTTCTATCTGCCATGAACTGGGACCCCGTGAGGGGGCGGCATGGGGGAGGCTAAACTATCCTTCGGATCAAAGACAGAAACGGCAGCAACAGAAGAAAAGTGGCAACAGAAGAAAAGTGGACGCGTCTACCAAGGCCAGTACCTTGTACTCTAGTTCGTTTAGGACATGATCTTTCTTGTTTTCGCTACCATCTTTATCATCATCATTTTGACAACAATCTTGGGCAGTTCTTTCCTAGCCTTGCGTTTTTTGTTTTAGGGGAAAATCATCTGGCTCGAACCCTTTGCTCTCTTCCACTCCTCCTCCATCTTTTCCTCCTCCATCGTCGTCTTCGTCCTCCTTTCTTCCCTTTCCTTCGTCTCCGTCACTCCTAAAATAATTGCCCTCATTACTATTTGTGTGTGTGTGACAGAATGCTCTGCACAGCCGTCTCGCCGTCGTCATGGCGTAAAGAGCCACTACTGGTGTCGCTGTCGCGAGTCAAGAATCAAAAACATGCACATCACGCATGTTTGGGTCGACTAAAGCACACACAAGAGGCAGCACAACAGCAAACCGACGTACCGACATGGCGTTGAAGCCTCCGCATTTTTCCGAGGAATCACCAGTGCACCCCATGTCGCACGTTGCTTCTCCGTAGACGTCGTAGGCGGCGTTGTTGCCGCACCAGCACTGACGACATCCATTCCAAGAACAGGAAGAGGGAGGGCGACGAAGATTAGGAATTGACTTTTTTGTCAGCGTGGAGTGAGATGTAACAGCAGTGTTTAGACGATACTAAGTACGAGGCGGGAAGTGACTTGCTCGTTGGCATGAAGCGGTAACCGCAGTGGTTAGACGATACTACAAAGCGCGAAGTAATTTCCTTGTTGGCATGAGGAGAGGCAACCATGGTATTTACTAACGAGGCGTGTTGTGGTGCCAAGAACTGTATTCAATGGGGAAGTAATGTCGTTTGTTGCTGTTGTCTTCACAGGAAAAACCGTTACGAGTCTCTATATCCAGTACATCCCTCAGTGCTGACCAAACACTTGAGGTTGTCTATTCCCGTGGTCACAGGCAAACCGAAGCACTAACGACAAAAAACGCTTAACCCCCCACATCATCCTGCAGCCGAAACACTACCTCAAACCTCAAATCAGCGCTCACAGGACTTGTGCCGTTTGCTCCAACCCGTGGTCACACGTGCATCATTGTTCGGCTATAATAATAGTAACTGCTGTTGCGAGAGAAAGTACGTGTGTTGCCTTTTTTGTTTCGGGTATTTTTCATTTTCGTTTGGGGGACCCCGTATGTGTATTGCCCAGTCACGTCGACGAGAGCATTCATGCACACAACAGGCTCGCGTCCTTCAACTGTGAGCTCACCTCCCCCCCGAACTGCGTGCCATAGTAGGCGTAGTCAGCGCAAGTGCTCGCACAGATCTGTTGCCGTATGGTGTCGCCGTTATCCGGCGCCGTCCAGATGTGATCCGTTGGTCGAAGACGAGGCCAGCAGAGCAGCAACGAGAAATTATCATACCGAGGATCGGGGGGGGGGGACGGGGATGGATATGGTTGCCATGTCGACGTGGCCCCCGGGGATTGATTCATGGGGGGGCGGAAGTGCAACAACGGGGACACCAACAACCACCACCGAACGTCGACAAAAGCAACGGCTGGAGGTTAACAGCACAGCGAACAAAAAGAAGAAACAATGTTCAAGTAGAGCCTGATCCTGTCCCGGCACGCTGCTTGAGGAAGCCTAGAGGCACAGATAGCAGTGATCTCCACTAACGCAATGAATTCATCACGAACCCCAGACCCTCATCTACCAGTAGAGATGGACGCATCGTGTCCCTTTACCAAACAAAGCAAACAAAAAAATCATTACGTAATCTACGGCCGTAAAAACGCGAGTGCCACGGGGGGGACGACCAGCGCAAAGCACCAACAACGTCCTTCCTTCGTCGATTCATCCTGCTCACACTACCGCCGCTTACCGCCGTGGTCATGCTGCCGGAGCCGGTGACAACGGAGAAGACACGGTCGGCTTGCGAGTCGCCGAAGCACCCGAGGTACCCGGACTCGGTGGGCTCGGTGGGCGACGGGGTTACTTCATCGGGGACGGGAGACGGGGTTTCTTCATCGGGGACGGGGGATGGGGTTTCTCCCACCAAGCCGGTCGAGTAGAACTGCGGGCAGGCGTTGTCGGAGGGGGGGGGGAGGGGGGGGGTGACCATGACTAAATGAAAGAGTTTTGATAATTTGGAAAATGTTCGTGTCGGCACTTAGAGAAATTCAGCCTCGAGAAGACTCGAACCTGAGGGCTTGGGGGCACTAGTTGGTGAGGTCGATTGAGAGCGACTTAGATTGCGGCCATTCTTCGCGTAAGCCTGTGGAGACCAACAACATACGCATCGGTCGACACCAGATGTTCTTGAGTGTGGGCCCTAGTTGTACGACCAGGTGGACGACAGAAATAGAGGGAGGGCGTCTCCCCGAAACGGCACATCAATCCCACAGAAGACCCTTCCCTGTTATAGATGCGCTACCTAGGTAGTAGTCGAACTTCTCCGACATAGCACGCCTTACGACGAACTTGCCAAGCAATATTTTGTTGCTACCTCTGGAAGTGGGTGGATCAGAATCCCGCTCTCGATTCTCTGGCTTATTGCGGCGGTGGAGTCCAATTTCTGCCAAGGATGATCGACGAGGACGCGCAAGTCTGCTACGCAAGTCTGCTACACAAGCCTGCTACGCAAGAATGGAGAATGGAAACCAAATAAATCAAGAAACGATCGGCGCTGCAGCAGTATCCATGCACGGAGCTCCTGATGCGTACGTTGCGGCACGGGGCCAAGACAAACGCCGAATTATTGAGACAAACAGCGGGCAGCTGCACGTGTACGTACCGACATGGCGTTGTTGCCTCCGCATGTTTCCGAGGAATCACCAGTGCACCCCATGTCGCACGTTGCTTCTCCGTAGACGTCGTAGTCGGCGTTGTTGCCGCACCAGCACTGACGACATCCAGTCAAAGAGGATGAAGGGCGACGAAGATAAGGGATTGGTTTTTTTGTCAGCGTGGAGTGAGAGGTAACAGCAGTGTTTAGCGATACTAAGTACGAGGCGGGAAATGACTTCCTTGTTGGCATACAGCGGTAACCGCAGTGGTTAGACGATACTACGAGGCGGGAAGTAACTTCCTTGTTGGCATGAAGAGAGGTAACCATGGTATTTACTAACGAGGCGTGTCGTGGTGCCAAAAACTGTATTCAACGGAGAAGACAACAACATTGTTGTCTTCACAGGAAAGCCGTTCCAATCTCTCTGTCCTGTACATCTCTGTACTGATCAAACACTTGAGGTTGTCCATTCCCGTGGTAAGAGGCAAACCAAAGCACTAACGACAGAAACAACACATAACGCTCCATATCTTACACGAATACAAAACACCACCTCAAAAACATGCAACGAACACCTCATATTCAAGAGGGTCAGCACGGTCGCCCGAGGCAAGGGCTGAGTTAGGCAATCGGGTAAGAGAGACTCATCTTCCCCCAAGCTGTCGCTTCCACCTCGAGTCACTCAGCTGCAGAGTCGTGCACGACTGTCAGCGCCTCGTCTACATCTGAGACGGATTGTTCTTGGTTCTAGCCTCACCGACCAGGGCATGCATCCTTTTTTATGTTTTTTTCGTATCTTTACCTCAGACTTGTGCCGTTTACTCCAACCCGTGGTCACACGTGCATCATTGTGTGACTGTAAAATAACAGCAACTGCTGTTGCGAGAGAGAAAGTACGTGTGTTGCTGTTTCTGTTTCGGGTATTGTTCATTTTCAGTTTTGGGGGACCCGACATCTATATATCGCCCAGTCACGTCGACAAGAGCATTCATGCACACAATGCGTCCTTCAACTGTGAGCTCACCTCCATGCCGTACTGCGTGCCATAGTAGGCATAGTCAGCGCAAGTGCTCGCACAGATCTGTTGCCGTACGGTACCGCCGTTTTCCGGCGCCGTCAAGATGTGATCCGTTGGTCGAAGACGAGGCCAGCAAAGCAGCAACAAGAAAACATCATACCGAGGATCGGTGGGGGGGACGGCGAAGGATACCATGTCGACGTTGGGAAACGCACCGGTGAAGTTCGAACAACGTGGACCCCGCGGATTGATTCATGGAGGGGCGGAGGTGCAACAACGGCGACACCAACAACAACAACAACAACAAGCACTCTAGGTCGACAAACGCGACGGCCGGTAATGAACAGAGCGGCGAACAAAAGAAACTACAAATCTTGTAGAGCCTGTTCCTGTGTGCTGCTCGAGGAAGCCTAGAGGCACAGATAGCAGTGATCTCCGCTAACGCCATGAATGCATCACTGACCCTCAGACCCCCATCTATGCGTAGAGATGCATGTATCGTGTTCCGTTACCAAACAAAGCAAACAAAAAACACCAAGTAATCAACACGCGTAAAAACGCGAGTGCCACGGGGGGGACCACCAGCGCAAAGCACCAACAACGCCCTTCCTTCGTCGATTCATCCTGCTCACACTACCGCCGCTTACCGCCGTGGTCATGCTGCCGGAGCCGGTGACAACGGAGAAGACACGGTCGGCTTGCGAGTCGCCGAAGCACCCGAGGTACCCGGGCTCGGTGGGTACGACGGGAGACGGGGTTACTTCATCCGGGACGGGAGACGGGGTTTCTTCATCCGGGACGGGAGACGGGGTTACTTCGTCCGGGACGGGAGACGGGGTTTCTACCACCGAGCCGGTCGAGTAGAACTGCGGGCAGGGGTTATTGACGGGGGGGGAAGCAAACGGCGGCAAAACGAAAGAGGATTGACAAGTTAAATGATGTTTTGTACCGCGCGCACTTGAGAGGAAATAGCAGATAAAGAGTAACTCGAAATCTGAGAACTTCAGCACCGTTTGTTGTGAGGTCGGTTCAGAAACCCCCGTACACCATTACCTAAATAGCGTCATTCATCGCGTAACCCTGCAGGGACCAAGAACATCAGCCTCGGTCGAAACTAGAGGTTCTTAGGTGCGGACCCAAACTGAAGGACCGCAAGGACGACGAACGTATAGGGAGGGCGTCTCCTCCAAACGGCACACCAATCCCACACGAGACCCTTCCCTGCTGTTGATAGGTACGCTACGTAGTCCAATTTGTCCGACACAGCACGCCTCACGAAATTTCGAATCACTCCTTGTTTCGGAGTTGCTCGCTAACACTCTTCCGGTAGGTGCTGGTGACCCCTGATTTCGATTCTGTCGCCTACTGCAGCGGTGGAGTCCATTCTCTGCCAACCATGATTTGGGACGCGGACGCTCACGTCTGCTACGTACTACTGACGTCCTCACACAAGAGAGTCAAGCAGATGGGGCGCTAATCACCCTGTTCATAGCCGGCGCTGCAGCAGTACCTAGCAGTACAGAAGCCCTCGTGACGCTGTGTGTACGTGTGGACGCGCGTATGTACCTCAAACCTGGCGACTTCCTTGCACTCGCTAGTTCAAACGCTTGGAGGGAGGTAGACACGAACCCAAAGCCACTAGCAGGTTTCCAGCCCTCAGACTACACCACGGCGCTAGGCCTCCCCCGAGTACCCTAACCCTACAACTACATCGCAAGCTATTCGCGCTCGCCAGCCCGGGAGTGTAAATACACATCGTCGTGTACGTGCGGCACAGGGCCAAGACAAACACCGAATTTCTGAGACAAGCAGTGGTCAGCTGCACGCGTACGTACCGACATGGCGTTGAAGCCTCCGCAGATATCAGAGGAATCACCAGTGCACCCCATATCGCACGTTGCTTCTCCGTAGACGTCGTAGTCGGCGTTGTTGCCGCACCAGCACTGACGACATCCATTTGAAGAGCAAGAAGAGGAAAGGCGACGACGACGAGGGATGGGCATTTTTGTCAGCGTGAAGAGAGGTAACCGCAGTGTATCAGACGATACTGAATGTGAGGCGGCAAGTGATTTCCCTTGTCGGGATGAAGAGACGTAGCCGTGATCTTTGCTAACGAGGCTTAGGGGTTGTGGTGTGCCAACCACCGGTTGCCCGAGGCGAAGGCTGCGTTAGGGAATCGGGCGAGAGAGACCCTTCTTCCCCCAGCCTGTCGCTCCCACCTCGACATACACCGCGGCAAAAAGTCGCGCACGACTGTCATCGCCGTCGTCTACATCGTCTGAGACGCATTACTCTTGGTTCCAGCCTCGCCGACACGCGCGTGAATATTTTTTTGTATTGATGGCATTTACCTCCAAGATATCAGCGCTCGCAGCACTTGTGCCGTTGTCTGCAACCCGCGGTTACACGTGCATCATTGTGTGGCTGTTGAATACCATCAACTGATGCGAGAGAGAGAAAGTATGTGTGTTTTGGTTTCGTTTTGGGTACTATGTTACCCTCGGTTTCGGGGGCCCAATATCTTGTCCAGGGGCACGTCGACAAGAAGATGATTCATGCACACAACAGGCTCGCGCCCTTCAACTGTGAGCTCACCTCCCCGCCGAACTGCGTGCCATAGTAGGCATAGTCAGCGCAAGTGCTCGCACAGATCTGTTGCCGGTACCGCCGTTTTCCGGCGCCGTCAAGATGTGATCCGTTGGTCGAAGACGAGGCCAGCAGAGCAGCAACAAGAAAACATCATACCGAGGATCGGTGGGGGGGACGGCGAAGGATGCCATGTCGACGTTGGGAAACGCACCAGTGAAGTTCGAACAACGTGGACCCCGCGGATTGATTCATGGAGGGGCGGAGGTGCAACAACGGCGACACCAACAACAACAACAACAACAAGCACTCTAGGTCGACAAACGCGACGGCCGGTAATGAACAGAGCGGCGAACAAAAGAAACTACAAATCTTGTAGAGCCTGTTCCTGTGTGCTGCTCGAGGAAGCCTAGAGGCACAGATAGCAGTGATCTCCGCTAACGCTATGAATGCATCACTGAC